CCCCTGCCAATGAAAGCCAACACACCATATGCCTCCTTTACAACCCTATCTACTCGGGTAGCAACTTTGAGGGATCTATGAATGTGGACCCCAAGATCCCTCTGTTGCTCCACACTGCCGAGAAACCTGCCATTGACCCCATATTCTGCATTCAAATTCGACCATCCAAAATGAATCACTTCACACTTTTCCAGGTTGAATTCCATCTGCCACTTCTTTGCCGAGCTCTGCATCCTGTCAGTGTCCCGTTGCAACCTACAAGAGCCCTCCACACTATCCACAACTCCACCAACCTTTGTGTCATCAGCAAACTTACTGTTCCACTTCCTTAGCCAAGCCATTTATAAAGATCACAAAGAGCAGAGGTCCCAGAACAGATCCCTGCGGATCACCGAGCTCCAGGCTGAATACTTTCCATCTACTACCACCCTCTGTCTTCTATTGGACAACCAGTTCTGTATCCAGACAGCCAAATTTCCCTGAATCCCATGCTTCCTTACTTTCAGAATGAGTCTCCCATGGGGAACCTTATCAAATGCCTTGCTAAAATCAATATGCACCACATCCACTGCTCTGCCTTCGTCAATGTACTTTGTCACATCCTCAAAGAATTCAGTAAGGCTTGTGAGGCATGACCTGCCCCTCTTAAAGCCATGCTGACTAATTCTAATCAACCTGTGCTTTTCTAAATAATCATAAATACTATCTCTCAGAATCCTCTCCAGTAATTTGCCCACCACAGAAGTAAGACTGACCGGTCTGTAATTCCCAGAATTATCCCTATTCCCTTTCTTAAACAAGGCAATGACATTTGCCATCCTCCAATCATCTGGTACTACTCCAGTGGACAGTGAGGACACAAAGATCCTCGCCAAAGGCGCAGCAATCTCTTCCCTCTTCCAAGTCCCATCTGGAGTGCTGCCAGCCTTTTTAGCACCCCTCTATACTGTTCAGTTGCTCAACACCCACGTTTTGAATTAGGCCATTGTCACCATCTTCTAGTTTGGTAAAGACAGAAGCAAAATATTCATTTAATACCTCTGCCATATCCTTTGGCTCAGTGATCCACTTACCTTGCTTATTCCTTATGGGGCCCACTCTATCTTTTACTAATCCATAGAATCTATACAGTGTGGAAGCAGGCACTTCAACCCAACAAGTCCACCGTGCCACCCATGTTTTACTTTTAATGTGTCTGAAGAACACGTTACTATTCATTTTAATGCAGCCTGCCATCTTTTGTTCATGCTTGCTCTTAGGCTTATTGCAGCCTTAGCTGAGATACGCTTCCTGACATCTATTGCTATTGTTGTTCTGGTATGTATCACATGCCTCCTTTTTTCTTAACACATAACCCCTTAAGGGTCCCGACCCGAAACGTCAGTTTTCCTGCTCCTCTGATGCTACCTGGCCTGCTGTGTTCCTCCAGCTCCACGCTGTGTTATCTCTGACTCCAGCATCGGCAGTTCTTACTACCTCCTTTTTCCTTCCCTATTTTCTCATCAATGTCCTTGGTTATCTAGGGTAATGTAGCTTTGGATTCCCCGTATTTATTTCTCATGGGTATGTACCTTGCTTGTATCCTTTTGAAGTTCTCCCTTTTTTTAAAATCCACTGTTTTATCCACCAAAATGCATCAATTTGCTGAAGGTCGACTTCTTAGACCTTTTCCAGTCTGGTAACTTAATCATTGACTGATTATTATACTTTTTCAACTTAGCAATCATAACATCATAAATGTTCAATGTTATGTCCCAAATGCTCACCCACTCAGGTTCTCCGCTTGGTCTGCCTCGTTTTCTAGGACCAGATCCAGCACAGCTGCCTGTTCCACAAAGTTATCCTGTACGCATTACAGGAAGTTATCCCCTTCCATACCTGACAGTCTAGTTTTTCCACAATCCATCATCAGGTAATTGAAATCACCAACTATCACAACCCTACTTGCTCTGCAGATTTCCATAATCTGCCCATAAATGCTCTCTTCTACTTCCTCCTCACTGTTTGGAGGTCTGTAATAAGTACTCAACAAGGTCATTGCTCCCTTCTGTTTCTCACCTCCAACCATATAGATTCTAATTCAGGAGTTGGGACAATGACACTATCTTTGACCTAGACTGCTGCACCACCTCCCCTTTTACCCACCATGTTTCTACTAAAAGCCTTATAACCTGGAATGTTAAATATCCAGTCCTGTTCTGGCTTGAGTCCCGTGTCTGTCAATGCTACTATGTCATATCTCCCAGAGCAATTTCTGCTTCCAGTTCCCCAATTTTGTTTACTATACTCCGTGTATTTGCATATACACAATTTAATTCTGCCCTTATCTCTTACCCATTGTAAGGCAATAATTTCCTTGTTCAGTGTCAACACTTAAGACTTCCCTCACTTCCATTTCCCCATTCACCATCTCTCTTTTGCCTTCTCTGGTACTTCCAAAACTAGGTCCATTTGACATGCTGCTTATCTCAGCTACATCTTGCAAAATCCACTGTAACAAATTATAGAATTGTACATTATGAAGAGGCCCTCCTGCCCATCACGTCTGTACCACCAAAGCTACACTAAATCTACACCTAGCCCCATCTTTCTGTACTAGGCTCATAGTCATGACATTTCAAATGCTGATCCAAGTTCTTTTTAAAGGTTCAGGTTACCTGCCTCAATTACCTTCCCAGGCAGTGCATTCCAAACCCTCTGGGTGAAAAAAAATTTTCCTCAAATCTCTCTCAACCTTTCACTTTAAAATAATGTGCCCTTTTTTAAAATTGAACCTTCAGCTCAGGGGAACAACTACTCTCGATTCACCTGATCCATAGCCCTCATAATCTTACACACCTCTATCAGGTCCACTCTCAACCTGCTCTGCTTTAAAGAAAACAACCCAAACTTATCCAGCCTCTCTTCAGGCAGATCCTGGTGACTCTCCTTTGCATCTCTCCAGTGCACTTTGTACTTCCAGTGACCAGTACTACACGCAGTGCTATCGCTGTGCCTAACCAAAGTCCTGTACAGCTCCCACATAACCTTCCTGTTCTTATAATCTACACCTCAACTGATAAAAACACTGTCCCATATGCCACTTTAACTGCCTGATTAACCTGTCCTGCCACACCCAAGATCCTTCTGTTCCTGAGTTTCCTGGTGTCCTGCCATTTGTTGAGTACTTTCTAGTCTTTGGTACTATTTCCAAAGTGCAATACTTCACATTTATCAGGGTTAATATCTGCCACTAATCTGCCCTGCCCATCTGACCAATCCATTTATATCTTCCTGCAACCTAAGACCTCCTTCCTCACTGTCAACCACCCAGCCAGTATGTGTCATCCACAATAAAAACCGAAAGAACTACGGATGCTGTAAATCCGGAACAAAAACAAAGTTGCTGGGAAAGCTCAGCAGGTCTGGCAGCATCTGTGAAGGAAAAGAAACAGAGTTAATGTTTTGAGTTCTGAGGAAGGGCCACCGGACCCGAAATGTTAACTTTTTTTTTTCACAGGTGCTGCCAGACCTGCTGAGCTCCCCCAGGAACTTTGCTTTTGTGTCATCCACAAACTTATTTATCTATTCCCCTGTCCACGTTCTCATCCAAATTGTTTATGAATATCACAAACAAGAGACCCAGTACTGATCCCTGTGGTACACCAATGGCACTGGCCTCAAGATACAAACAACCTTCCTGCATCATTTTCTATCTGCTGTCACTCAGCCAATTTTGGATCCAACATGCCAAGTTAGCACATGGGATCCAGGCTTTCACTTTCTTCATCAGTCTGCCATGTGGGATCTTATCAAAAGCTTTGCAATCCATATCAACTGCATCCTCATCTACACTCTGAAAAATTCAACCAGCTTTGTTAGGCATCACCTCACTATGGAAAAAAATCATGCTGACTGTGGCCCTGATCAAACCTTTCTTCTCTAAATAGAGATTAATTCTCTCCTTCAGAATTTTCTCCAATAGTTTCCTGACCACTAGTCTATCTCTATCACCCTTCTTGAAAAGAGAAACCACATTAGCAATGCTCCAGTACTCTGGCATTTCCTCCAAGCAGCTGGAGAGAAATTAACAGTTTGGGTCAGGGCCCTTGTAATTTCCCCTCTTGTATCCCAGGCTGCCAAAGGACACAAGTCCTCCAGACCTGGGGATTTGTTGTCTTTTAAACCCTCCAGAACCTCCAATACCTTAGTCCCTATATCAATCTGCTCAAGCACTTCTCTGTTCCTCTTCCTCAAATCTGTACCTACATTCTCCTCCTGACTAAAGACAGTTGTGAAGTACTTGTTTAACACTCCAACGATGTCATGTGGCTCCACACACATACGTTTCTCCTTGGTCCCTACTCTTTCCCTGGTTATTCTCTTCCCACTTGTAAAATATCTTGGATTTCTCCCTAATTTTGCCTGCCAATATATCTTGATGACCAGGATATATTGTTTGAACCAGAGGTCACTAAGTTTTAATACTGTTTGAAGGAAAGGAATATTGAAACATTTTATACATGTAGCTTTGAGATTCTGTAGTGTCTTAGTTGGTCAGTGTGATCAGAGAAGGTGAATGATTTGAAAAGGAAATTGGATCAACAACTGAAGGAAGTAAACTTCGAAGGGCTGCAGTGATTTAGTGAGGTGTTGGACTGACTGCATTGATATATGGAGAGCCAATATGGCCTGTATAGATCAAATAGCTGTAATGACATCGATCCTGTTAAATACCTTTTTGAAATAGGATTTGGGCAATTTAAACTGCAGTTAAATTTTAACATCGCTGTTTTGTCTGTCCAAGCTTTCTCGAGCATGTTTTTGTTCTGGAATTCAACAATGTTGAGTAATGCTCCAAGGATTAAGGTATATTTGTTCAAGATGAGTGTGTGAGGTCAGATGTTGATGCAGTTTCAAAACTTTTTGAGCTTGTGAATATTGAAGATACAAGGTGTAATGGAAAATATGTAAATCATTAACACAGCTTTATCTATAATGAGAACTGCTCTTTCTTTCAGGTCGTTTTACCCTGGAATTGTCGTACTTTCCCTCTGAATGACGAGGAGACAAAACACTTGACTCATCCGGAGGTAGCTGTAAGTGATAAGGTTGGACCTCAACCACTCACGAGGTCATACTTGGCGCTCAGTGGGAATAGCCCAACTAATCAATCACCAACTGGCACTGGAAGTTCAGACAGAGTGCCATCCAATGGACACATAGCTACTGAAGAAGCAGAATATAAACTCTCACTCTGGAGACAGAGCAGTGTAATGAAGTAGTGCTGATAAACCTGAGATTTATTTAGCAAACAGAAAATTATTGGATGATCATAAGGTAACTGATGCAGTGAGTTTTATAACTGTCTTTTTGAAAGTAGCCACTTCTAAGCAATTTTGAGCAAACCTTTGTTCCTACCCCTTCTGAAAGTGTGGATTCTAGCATGGGTGACTACTCATCCAGAACTTCTCCCTAGTGCTTATAATTCAATCCATCGCCTCTGGCAGCATTCAGGGTTATTTACCGATTGTGAACATGTCGCTGTGCTGGGTCCTTGCTCCACTGAACATCCATACTTAGTCATTTTCAGCAAATGTTGCTGGAACTAAACTTTGGAATTTGGGCTGATTTCATGTTCACTTCAATTTAGGGCATGAAGCTATTAATTGTAGCCCCCATTTATGGCCAGCAGATATCAAGAGTTGAACATGGATTCTGCCACTATGCAACTTTTCAAGCACATGGTTTCCTGTGGCAGTAAGAGTAACATGTATTTTTGGATGTGCAGTTCATACATCTCAAACCTCCAATAACATGACAGTTTCAGGTACAAGGTAATAAAAGGTCACACACTTGTCATTCACTGTTTCTGTCTCCACCTTTGCTATCTGACCTGCTGAGGGTTTTCAGCATTTTGTGTGTTTTTTAATATCAGGTAATGAGGTTGTTTTTCAGCTCTGTTCAGCTTTTATCTCCAGTCTTTCTGAGCCACTATATATATATTTTTTTTAAACAACATCTCACCTTTCAGACTAAATAGTGCTTTTATCAATATCGGATCTTGTGGACGACGCTGATGCTCCCCATTTTCACACCCTCTAGACTCTTTGCTTTACTTGTCCTTATACCAGCTCATTTGCCCCTTGTGCCACTTGTCTCTGCCTCTATATTTACTTTGAAACCACTTTATCTCTTTTGCCAGTCCTGACACAAGATGTTGCTAGACCTGTTGAAATATTTTGCTTTTCAACCATTTTTACATTCTAACCTGTGAACTATACTAACAGTTTTTGATCCAGAATAATCCCAGGCTCATCTTCTGAGGAAACCAAAAAAGTGCTGGAGAAACTTTGTAGGTCTGGAAGCATTTGTGGAGGCTTTGATGGAGAGAGACAGTTAATGTTTTGAGTCAGATTTAATTCTTCAGAACTGAAAGCAATGAGGAAAAGACTGTTAAATTTCTGAATGGAATTTATTTCCTGTTTTCATCATACTTTGCTAATCCCTCGTATTATTCTTGCAGCCATTTTCTTCAAGAAATCACCTTATGGTAGTGAAAGACACCTGCAATTCCATAAGCTTTTTGGACTGATTTTTAAGCTAAAAAAATCATTCAAATATAACTGTGGAAGGTTGTATTTTCAGTTCTTTGCCTGAACTCCTGGATGTATTCATTTGAGAGAAACAGTCTAAGCCTGGAGTCGTCAATGAGAACAGCAGTATCCAAATTGTAAACTTTTTTCCTAATCTGTTGAATATTCTGCATCCTATTTGACCAGCAGCTGGACCTGAGGTCATATCAACTAGATCAAGAGAAAGTGTTCTGAAACTGTTTTTGTTTAGGTTTCTTTTCACACCTTTTTGCCTTCTGTTTATCTTTATTAACTAAAATAATTTTACTTAAAAAGTGTTATTGTCCTCTCTTGTGCTAAAAGGTTCCAGTCGGTGCATCTGTGCTGCAAATACTTAAGCAACTGAAAGGCAGGTAAATGTCAGGGTGGACTGGGCCATGCGTTCAAAGCTTCATCAGAGCAGCTGTGTATTTCCAGCATTTTTTAAGGTTTACTTTGTATCTTGACTGAAAGTAATTTGCTTTTAACAATCTGCCCCATATTTATTGTTAGTATTGCCATTATCAATTTTAACACTGCACTAAGGAAAATAATTTCAGTCACTGTGATAACGTATCATTGGAACAGTAGTGTTAAATACTTTCCTTCAAAGCCAGCATTTTCCTCCTCCAAGAGAGTTTTATATGGTTCTGGTTTTTGGGAGTGATATTTATGATTTTAACACCATCACCCAATTTCTCATTGTGTGTGGAACAACTGGATACATAGACCACCAAGAAGCTGTTCTTCCCCTTTTTTATATTTAGGGCATATTCTTCACCCTAAAAGGAAGAACTACTACACTTCCTCTAGAGCTTCCTTGAAACCAGATGACAGTTTCAAAGATAACTGGAGGGATATGTAGTGTTGAAGAAATGGGAAGGCTAGGAGATTGTATTTCATTTACCACTTTGCCCAATCTGGGGAAATGAGGTTATGGAGTTTGGTGGGCAGTTTAAACCATAACTCCTAAGGTTAATGTGCAGAAGTTAGGAAGGCAAATACAATGCTAGAATACAAGACCAGAGATGTAATGCTGAGGCTGTTAAGGCTCTGATCAGACTGTATCTGGAACACAGTGAGCAGTTTTGGGCCTTATAATCTAAGGATGCACTAGCCGCCCAAGGATGAAGGGCTTGTCAGATGAAGGATTGAGGACTGTTTTTGTACTTGGTGTTTAGAAAGATGAAGACGGGGAATCTATTGAAACTCTAATACTGAGGACTGGATACAGTGGACAGGGAGAAAATGTTTCCACTAGTTCCTCCTGCTAGGACCTGAGGGCATGGCCCCTTAGAACTGAGATAAGGAATTTCTTCAGCCAGGTATGGTGAATCTGTAGAACTCCTTGGTACAGAAGGCTGTGGAGGCCAAGTCATTGAGTATATTTTACTTCAGGCGTTTAAATTTTTTATTAAATGATGACCTGCTTATGATGCAAAATCAATTTGTTACACTTCTGGCTTCAAAAGTGCCATTTTAGAGCCCCCTTCCACGTTATGCTTGACTCATTGGACTGTGAAAGCCCACAGGTAAACTAAATTTCACATTAAGCACGAAAAAGTTCTCCTCTCTACTAATATAAAAATCCTCAAGAAGTGAGGAATGCTCACAGCACTGACTCTCACCAGACAGATTCTTTGACTCCTCAAGGGTCTGAGATTTTTTTCCACATTGTCAGCTCCTGTTTCTGCATCACATACAAACAGTACAACATAGTTATTTGTTTTTATTCAGAATATAGAGAAAAGAGGCACCAAGAGAAAATGTTTCAATCACAGGGAGTTTTACATTTGCAGACTTTGCTCCTTTAGCCCTCTGAACTTCTAGACTGTTTCAGCTGTATGGAAGAATTATTAGTTTTACACGTGTTTGAAGTTCATTCCCATACCACCACCAGCAGGCACAATTGAATTTCCTATGGTTGCACTGTTGCCATTTCACCTGTCCAGGCAGCGCTTTTGCATGGCTTCAACACAGACATTACGGAGTAGATTTATTACAGATCTGGGGTCATCACTCTTCATGACTGCACTGCCAGATACGATCATGTTTGCTCCAGCCTAAAAAAATTAAGTTTAATATCATAAATAGATTTACCAAAAAAAAGCTTTAAGTATGTATTGAACATTAATACTGTGAAGTCATGGAGGGAGTAAATGTTTGTGATTGGCCAGTGCTTAGTAGCAATTCACCAAAGCTCCTTACATAGTAACTTCTAAACCCATAACCACTCCTATCAAAAAGACAAGGGTAGTAGGTACATGGGAACACCACCATCTCCGTGTTCCTGCCAAAATCACTCACCCTCATGGCTTGGAAATACATTCCTATTGCTTCCTAACAGCATTGAGAGTTTTGCTACACCACAAAATCTGCAGATAAGAACAGTTCCAGTCCTTCAAAAAAAATGGTGCCATGCTTTTTATCTCCAGCTAAGAGAACAGTCTCACTAAGCCCAAAAAATACCCTATTTGCCGTTTTGAATTTAAAGTATGTAATGTAGATGTTGGCACTATAGAGGTGCCAAGCTCAGTTTGAGATAGCTGTGTGGAAAAGTATTTTATGACTCTGCAGAGATAGCTGATCGCCACTTGGGCAGCAGTGTGCACTGTATATTGGGATTGCTATTGTCTGTAGGGTCATCTCATCAAAACCTACTGGCATTGAGTCAGGGTACTACACCAAGTTTATCACCTTCAGCAGAGAAGAAAACAAGGGAACCCAGCTGGAGTCCTACATCCATTGCACTCCAGCCACTGAGAACTGAGAACATGACGAGTGAGGTAGCATCTACCGCAGTGAACTTGCAAAAAAAAAAAGTGGTGGGATGGAACAAATAAGTCTTGTTGAAGCAATTAAACACATTATGTACCAGATTTTATTTTTGTCACAGTGTAGTAGTACCTCTGCACATTTCTGAATAGTGTCTGGTCCCACACCTCCATCAACTTCAATATCCAGCGAAGGAAACTGTGTTCGCAACCAGTGGACCTAAAACAAAAGAACAATGGTTTTCTGTTCTAAATCTCTTTCACAAATGGACAAACAAGGAGGGAAATATTTTAGCAAACAGGTTCCACAGCTAAATGGGAACCGATTTGTAATAACTATAGCAACATTCTATATCTGCATTAGGACAGGAAAAAGTGAATTATCTTGCAATTGTTTAAGCAGAACTTCTGCACCTGAAGAAGTTCAAACTAACCTGTCCTAATAGGATCTATTGATGTTAAACCAATTCCTTCAATGATCAAACACTACGACAGGCCACAAAGCATACGAAATGGAAATTATACCTTTGACATCATATCACCCATAAATTTCTGACCTCCAAACCCAGGTTCCACAGTCATCACTAGAGCCATGTCAATCTGATTTGCCCAAGGAGCCAAGTCTTCTACACTTGTACCTGGTTTAATTGCCAGTCCCACCTTTAGAGGAAGAATACAAGATATATTAAGTGTGAGATTGCCATATTACATGGGTTTGGATTTACATTAAGTTTTGAAAGTTCATTCACCTATTCATGTGTCCATGCAGCAGTGAAATAAAGGAATGCTTGTTTTATTAGAGGTGCTGTCTAGTTCTACAAGTCTTCTGTTGGAAGCAAAAGGAAATAATACCCACTCTGGTCATCTCTTTGATGGACGTACCATTTGAAAAAGCTAACCAAGAAACTTCTTACATTTAAGATAAACTCCACATGTTTATTTGTTTTGCTCTGTATGAAGTACCAAATTTTTAAACAAAGTAAATCACCCAGCACCCGTCATTAACAGGGCAGATACGCAGTTTAAATGCAGAAGAAAGATCAATACCAAACTGGAGTCAGTTTGCTGAGATCAACTTAATTCTAATCTAGAATTACATAGAATAAACTGAACACAAACAGATCAACCTAAACATGGTGACATTTATGCTTTACTCAAGCATCCTCCCCTGTATCATCACATAAATCTGTCATAGTAAACATTTATTCCTTTCCAAGATAACAAGGTGTAGAGCTGGATGAACACAGCAGGCCGAGGAGCAGGAAAGCTGACGTTTCGGGTCAAGACCCTTCTTCTTCAGAAGTGTACTATTCATCTTAGCCACTGGTATAGATAGGCATTGCTTTACAGATAAAATGTTTTTCTAAATTTGCTATTTGATTTCTTGGTAGCTACATTATGTTGATGGTTTCTAGTTTTGCTGTTCTCCACAAGTGGAAATATTTTGTCTGTACTCCCTAAAAGTATTGTCCATTATGTTTCCCACTCCCATATGACGAGTGCCGCAGTATAACATAAATTGAGTTGTGTTAAAGTTGTAGCAAATAAACAAGCACAAGTGTCACTAGTGGAGGCAGATCTGTCACTGCCTAATGTGGGGTACACGATGAAAGGGAACAGAATGTATAAATCGCTAGAGTATTGGCATCTGTATTCTGAGGCTTACCTTGTTTATATTCTGTCTCAAGCTATTCCCAAGCATGATATCCAATCATTTAATTTACTTGCAGGTCATGGCTAATCTCCTTTAATCTCTCGTTTTATACCAGTATCATCCTATACCTTTCAGTCATTCAATTTGACATATCTATTAAGATAAAGGCTGAACCCATTTTCTATACTGCCCCAGCACTCCTTACACACTTAACTCCCATTATGCATGTAGTTGCTTTGTGAATAGTACCAATCAACTGCTAAATAAAACCAGTTTCTCAGTTAGCACCCAGGTATCACTAGATTCTTAAAGAAAATGTTAAAGACCAGTCAGACCACTGTCCTTTGTGAAGAATAGCCCTGCCTGCTTTGACACAGCAGACCCTCAGTTCGAACGTGGGGTGTAAGCAATGGAACGGCTGCTGTTAGGGATAAAAATGGTGCTAATATGTTTAGTGCACAATACGTCCAGCGTACCTTAAAGGTTATTTGTGTTGGTATTTATTAAGGAAGAAGAATCTGTATAAATATTGATAGAAGCAGATATTGGAGACAACAGGAAACTGAGAGGGAGTAGGTACTTGAAAAGCAGTAACTTGAAAGAAATAAACTGGTGTGGGAATGGGACTAATTGACCTGTAGAGAGTCAAATGGAAACAGATGGGCAGAATGCCTCCTCTTCCACAAATGACGGTTTTACTGTGACTCCTGTTTAACATGAATATATTCACTACAGTTTGCTTAATGAGGGACAGATAACAAACAGTGGTCTAGTGTGACGCCTGTTGCTTATTTGCTACAACTTTAACACAACTCAATTTCATGTTATACTGGGACACTTATCATATGGGAGTGATGAACATAATGGACAATACTTTTAGGGAATTCAGACAAAGCATTTCCACTTGTGGAGAAGAGCAAAACTAGAGACCATCAACATAGTGTAGTTACTAAGAAATCAAACAGGGAATTATACAGTGACATATCTGCCTCCACCAGTACTGTATCCCAGTGTTGCACAGTGACAGTTTTGTCTCCACCAGAACTCTTCCCCCGTGTTATACGGTGACAGACTTTCACCACCAGGACCATACTCCAGTATTATACACTGACACTGCTGTCCCCACCAGTACTGGAACCAAGTGTTGTACAGAAATGGACCTACACTCCTACTGTCTTATACAAAAACACATTTGCACACTCCAGTACTCTACTGCAATAGATGATCACTGCAGTGTTATAGATGTGCCCTCCAATCTGGAAAGGTAGAACTGTACAGCTCTAAACAGCCCATAACCTCAATTTGGAGGGAGAGGTTCTCTGACTTCACAGGTAGCTTTTTAAACACAGTTCATTTTGAACGGTGAGCAATCACTTCATTGAAATCTCATGGACAGAAATGAAGTGGTGCATACTGACTCAAACACTTCCTTCACACTTACCTTCATGCAGTTTTCACGTATGTCTTTGATGAGTGGTCCTGGGTTATTTGTTGCTTCTAGATGGAATGTGTATTGATTAGCCCCCGCTACTGCCATCGGTTTCACCCACTGCTCTGGCTTTGAGACCATCATATGCATATCTGTAAAATAAACAAGGCACAGTGGCAGGGAGCACTTAAATTCCTATTAACCAGTAGCTTTGAAAAGGTTATACTTATAAAATTCATTCCAGCAACAAATCTAGATCCTTTAAATTAATACAATAAACACACTGCAAATGGCGAGCATGGCCTTCGATTTAAACACTGCTGTTATACAACAGCTTTTGTCAATTCTAGTCAACTTTCAGCTCTCTCACCCCCACCTCCCTCAATAGTATTTGAGCGAGGGACATATCCAAAAGAGAAGCTTAATTTAGGCACTCCTGCCTAGGCATATTACAGCCATGAGGACTCAACTTCAAGGTCAACAACTTCACAGCAGGATCTCAGTCCTATTCTTAACACCCCTGATCTCCCCAACCAATGCTGCTGTCTCATTTGCATGGATTTAGACTCAGCAGAGGCGACATATTTTAAGATCACAAGATGGAAGAGTAAAAGCAAACTTTTCAGTCTGTGGATTCGGATCAAGGCTGATTTGATAATCCTCAACTCCCCTTCCTGCCTTTTCCCAATACACTTACTTTCCTTACTATTTTTGCTGAAACGTGAGAGGCTAAAGGGTGACCTTACAGTTTTATGGTTTGTAAAATCATGGAGGGCATAGATAAGGTCTTTTTCCCAAGACAGGGGAGTCCAAAATTACAGAGCACAGGTTTAAGGTGAGTTGAGAAAGATTTAGAAGATACCTGAAGGGCAACTTTTCATGCAGAGGGTGATATGTACATGAAATGTTTTGCCAGAGGAAGTGGCAGCTAGAGGCAGGTAGAATTACATCATTTAAAAGGCGTCTGGATGGGTACGTGGACTGGAAAGGGTTTGGAGGGAAATGGGCCAAATACAGGCAAATGGGACTAGATTAGTTTAGGATAATTGGTCAGCGTAGATGAATTGGAACAGAAGGGTCTTTCCATGCTCTAGGACTCTAAAAATCTGTTTATCTTGGCCTTGAATATACCTAATGGCCCACCTCAATAGCCCTCTGCTGTAAAGAATTCCACAAATTCACCACCCTCATGAAACGTTCCTCATTTCTCTCTCTCTCTCAACTGGGAAACCTCTTTCTTTGAGATTATGCCCTCTGATCCTAGACTCTCTCACAAGGGGAAACAATCTTTTTGTATCTACCCTGTCAAGTTGCCAAGGGATCTCTTATGTTTCAATAAAGTCACCTTTCATTCATCTAAACTCTAATGAGTTTGGGCTCAACCTCAAAAAAGCCCTCCATACCTGGTATCAGCCTAATAAACTGAAGATCTTTCCTTAGAGAAGGGGCCCAAAATTATGGTCCGACTACTGCCTTGTATAGTTTTAGCAAAACCTCCCTACTTTTATACTCCATCCCCTTTGAAATAACGACCAACATTTCATTCGCCTTCCTATTATACACTGAATGTAGATGCTAATGCGATTCATTGATGAGGACTCCAAAGTCCCTCTATGCTGTACCCTTCTGCAGTCTTTCTCCATTTAACTATTCAGCTCCTCCACTCTTCCTGCCAAAGTGCATAACCTCACATTTTCCTACATTACATCATAGAATCCCTACAGTGTGGAAACAGGCCCTTCAGCCCAACAAGTCCACACTGACTCTCAGAGCATCCCACCCTCAGAGCCATCCCCCTATAACCCACCTAATCTACACATCCCTGAACACTACGGGCAATTTAGCATGGCCAATCCACCTAGCCTGCAAATCTATGGACTGTGGGAGGAAACCCGAGCACCCGGAGGAAACCCACGCAGACATGGGGAGAATGTGCAAACTCCACACAGACAGTCACCGGAGAATGGAAATTGAACCCGAGTCCCTGGTGCTGTGAGGCAGCAGTGCTAACCACTGTGCCACCGTGCCGCCTTGAGTTCTGCCAAGTTTTTTGCCTACTCATCTAACCTGTCTATATCCCTCTGCAGACTCTTTTTCATTACCACTTGCTTTCCCCACCTATTTTTGTGTCATCCGCAAACTTGGCTATAGTACATTCACTTTCCTCATCTAAGTCATTAATATGCATTGTAAATGATTGTGGCCCAGCATGATCCATGTGCCACTCCACTAGTTACAGGTTGCCATCCTGAAAATGCCCCCCCTCCATCCTAACTGTCTTCTACTTGTTAGCCAATCCTCTATCCAAGCTAAAAGACTAACCCCAATACCACAGGCACTTATTAAGTTGCCTAATATGCAGTACTCATCAAACACCTTTTGGAAGGCCACATATACTACATGGATTATCAATGGTAGGACCCTGGAAAGTATTGAAAATCAGACCTTGGTGTGCAATTCCTCTGAAAATAGCAGGGCAGGTGGATCATGGGCTGAGACTCAGAAATAAGAACAGGGAGGCTATGCGGGAACTGTATAAAATGCTGACTAAGCCACACTGGAATACTGTGTGTAGTTCTGATAAGCACATTTTCGGAGGGATGGCGGTATCACCACTGACTGTTAAAGGTGGCAGATGGTGGAATTTGAATTCAATAAATATCTGGAATTAAGAATCTAATAATCACTGTGAATCTATTGCCGGTTGTCACTAATGCCCTTTAGGGAATGAAGCTGCCATCCTTACCTGGTCTGGCCTACATGTGACTCCAGACCCACAGCAGTATGGTTGACTCTTAACTGCCCTCCGGGCAATCAGGGATGGGCATAAAATGCTGTCTAGCCAGTGACACCCCTCATCCTGTGAATGAATAAAGAAAAAAAATGTGATAGCACCGGAGACGATGTAGTGGAGATAAGATACATGTTGCCTAGCTTAGAGGGTCTGGAATTAGGAGGAAAGATTAGATAAACTGGAGTTATTTTCTTTGGAGCAGCAAAGATTGAGAGGGGACCTAGAGGTGCATAATATTGAGGGCCCTAGACAAAGTGGATACAACGGCACTTTTTCCATTCGTGGCTGGGTCAGTAACAGGGGTATAGAGTTAACAGTAAGATATAGAAGATTAAGTGTTTAGGTTGATAGTTTTCACGCAGAGTTTAGTGGGAATCTGGAACTCATTGACTGAAAGGGTGGTTGAGTTAGAAACTCATAACATTTAAGCAGTATTTATATATTCACTCATGTTGCCATTGTCTCCAGTTCTCTGGGCCTAAAGTTGGAAAATGGAATTAGTGTAGTCAGAGTTTTGTTGACCGACAGGTACAGTGTGCTGAATGGCTTCCTTCTATGCTGCAAGTATCTATTAGTGTACATCTACTGGCTCCCCTTTATCTATTCCTGCTTGTTACCTCCTCAAAAGAATTCTACTAAATTTGTCAGGAATGATTCCCCTTTCATGAAGCCATGATGACTCTGCTTGATCATATTATGTATTTCTAAACGTTCAGCTGTTAGATCCTTTTGATTCCAAAAAACAGTAGTTAAGGTGCAGTTCCAAGATGAGGTGGTGCCGGTGTTGGGCTGGAGTGCACAAGGTCAGAAGTCACACAACGCTAAGTTATAGTCCAACAAATTTATCTGAAATCACATGTTTTCTGAGCGCTGCTCCTTCGTCAGGTGAAGTGAAGAGAAGCACACAGGCACAGAATTTATAGGCAGAGAGAGCAAAAGATCGTACCAATGGTGTGAGTGGAGCGTTGACAGGCTGCATAGTAAGTCTCTGCAGATGATCGAAAAGTATCAGATGGTGTGAGTAAAATGTCAACAGCTGAATAGCAAGCAAAGAGGTAACCTATAATCAGATTGAGGCAGAGAGATAATTACAAAAGATTAAAAATAAGATGGTGCTGGAGACAAACCAAAAAGCTGGAATAACATGATAGATATGAGTCACATGCTGCAGATCTAACCAAAGTAACAAGTAATCCAAAACTGTATAAACTAATTAAGGTAGAGAGATCATAATAAGTATTGGTGATGGTGTCAAAACAGGACGGTAAGGAAGATTTTACAAATACAGGACAGTATGATGGGGTTACGTGTAGCGCAACATAAATGCAAGATCATGGTTGAGGCCGTTTTCATGGGTATGGAACTTGGCTATCAGTTTCTGCTCGGCGATTCTGCATTGTGTATCTCAAAGACTGCCTTGGAGGATGCTTACTGAAAGATCAGAGGCTGAATGTCCTTGACCACTGAAGGTGTTCCCAACTGTTTGTCGATTGTTGCACGGTGTCCATTCATCTGTTGTCGTAGTGTCATGGTCTCGCCAACATCCATGCCTCAGGGCATCCGTGCCCGCAGCGTATGAGGTAAACATTGGCCAAATCACAGGAGTACTGGTCATGTACTTTGTGGGTGATGTTTCTATGTGTGATGGTAGCATCCATGTCAATGACCTGGCATGTACTGAGGAGGTTGCCATGGCAGGGTTGTGTGGTGTTGTGGTCAATGTTGTCCTGAAGGCTGAGTAGTTTGCTGCAGATGATGGTCTGCTTAAGGTTTGGTGGTTATTTGAAGGCGAGAAGTAGAAATGTACGGATGGCCTTGACAAAATATTTGTTCTCATCGATAACATGTTGAAGTCTGCAAAGAAGATGGGTAGTTTCTCCGCTCTGGGGAGGTACTGGACAATGAAGGGTGCTCTATCAGTCATGCCCTGTGGCTGTCTTATGAGCAGGTTACTGTGGTTTTTCATTGTGGCATGTCGGAACTGATGATCAATCAGTTGAGCATCATGACCCGTTCTTATGAGGGCGTCTTCCAGCATCTTTAGGTGTTCGTCATGTTCCTCCTCTGCCTATAAATTCTCTGCCTGTGTGCTTCGCTTTCACTTCACCTGACGAAGGAGCACTACTCCGAAAGCTTGTGAATTCAAATAAACCTGTTGGACTATAACCAAGTGTCGTGTGACTTCTGACCTGGTCCACCCCAATCCAACGCTGGCACCTCCACATTTGGGAAAAAGAATTACTGTGTTCCGAAAGCTTGTGATTTCAAATAAACCTATAGTTCCAAGTTTGTAACCTTCCCTTTGTGAATAAGTATGTTACACTGGCAGACTTATAATCCTCCTGTCTAAGATCCCTACCAGTGCATCCACTGTCTCTGTTGCTACTTTCTTTAATATCCTGGATGCAACCCCCAGGTCCAAGGGGTTAATTGAGCTTTAGCACCATTAGTTTCTCTAGCACTTTTCTTCTGGTTATAGCTATTATACTTATTTCCTCTCCTCCTTTTGTCCCTTGATTATTTAGTAATTTTGGAATGCTACTAGTGTCTTCTACTATGAGGACTGATGTGTAGTATTTGATCAACTTTTCTGCCATTTCCTGGTTCCCCGTTATTTCCCTAGCCTCATTCTGAAAGAGGCAATGTTCATTTTTGTTGTGTTCTTCCTTTCATGATTTTAAAAGAAGCTCTTGCTATCCATTTGGCTATTACTTGCTACACAGTGCTTTTTTGGTCATCTTTTGTTTTTAAAAATGCTCCCAACCTCTGGCTTATTACTAATGTTTGCCAAATCGTACGTTTTCTTTCAATCTGATGCTATCCTTAACTTTTCTGGTTAACCATGGTTAGCTTATCTCTTGCCTGGAATCCTTGCATCATACTTGGGTACATCTTTGTCACAAGCTATGAACTAATTTCTTAATCATCTGTTGTTGTTTACCAACGGTCACCATCGGTTCCACTTGCTTCACCTTCACTCTTTCTCAACAGCATAAAAACAAAAATTTTCCGGCTCCTTTCGTTTCTGAAGAAGGGTCACTGAGCTCAAAATGTTAACTTTGTATTTATCTGTATATAAGCTGCCAGAGCCGCTGAGTTTCTCCAGCACGTTCTGTTTTTATTTCAGATATTCAGCATAATTTGCCTTTGCGTGCATTTGTGCTCTTTTTCAAGAAAGGATGTATATATTTGTACAGCTTAAAATTTTTGTTAACAATTTTTCTTTAAAATTATATTTGCAATAATCTAGATGTTTGTTAGTTGTTTAAGGAGACTAGTTGACCCATTTCTGATACCAGGCTACGTACAGTCTACATTTAAATAACTGGCTACAAAGTGTTTACTGACACCAACAATCCACCAATAACTGCTGCCTGCATATGCTCATTTCTAATCTCTCTCATTCTGTGCATGCGCAATAATAAAAAAGTTTTTTAAAATTAAAAATCTACTTCGACACTTTTTGTTACCAATATAAAAATTACAAGAATTGAAGGAATAAGTGTTTGCTAACTTTTTATCACTTTAAATGTCTTAGGTGTCAACAGATGCAACCTAGCCTCCTCCCTGTTGCTGCCATTTTAAAATCGACATTCAGAGGCTATGCTCATTCTTACTACACCACATGGTTTCAGATATTAAAAAAAACTTGTTTGAAGTTTTTCAAACTCTTCCACTCCCAGCGAGGCCTACCCAACTTTAGCTGCAGCCTTCAAAAGTGGAGGAGAGAGACAAAACTCATTGTCCAATGTAAATAGATACAATCATTTACCATTCAAAAATAAAAGTGTATCAGTGTTAAGACCAGGAGTGACTGCACTAGCACTGGGACTACTTAACTGAAGAGGAGAAAGTGCTTGTGTTTTTAACAAGTTTCAAACATCAGCCAGACACCAACACAGCACAACAAATTCCTGTGGCGTATTCCAAGCACCAGGCCTGCTTTTGTTACTGAACTACTTATGACAAAGTTTAAAAAAAGAGGCACTAGGGACCTACATCTCCAGAGTGAATCAACTCTGATGAATGGTTTAATCACAATTCAATGTTCTTCCTTTGTACCATCACGTGCCTGCCACACCACGTGGGTCACATGTTTCACAAAAATCAAAATGAAAGAACATTTTAACCTCTCCTCAATTTTAAATAAAAGTCATAGATGCACATCACAGAAACAGACCCTTCGGTCCAACTCATCCATACGATTAGATATCCTAAATAAATCTAGTGCCATTTGCCAGCATTTGGTCGATATCCCTCTAAACCCTTCCTATTCATATACCCATCTACATGCCTTTTAAATGTTATCATCGTACCAGCCTCCACCACTTCCTTTGGCAGCTTATTCCACACGTTCACCACCCTCTGCGTGAAAAAGTTGCCCCTTAGATCCCTTTTAAATCTTGCCCCTCTCACCTTGAAAGAAATCAAATAACTCAATTGGACAAATTTCAACAAATTAAAAAGAATACTAGGCAGCTTTCAAAATCAAGATTCAGTCTAATCTTTCACAAAATGTGGGGAAATGGGTGAAAGTATAGAAAGTACATCCCAAGTGAGGGCTGAATAAAGCAGTTCAACATAGCATGCACCAGATGAATAGCATTCAACTCTCAGTTACAGTTACTAAGAGGATAATATAGCTCTCCCATTTAATCTCACATAGAAACTGTTTGTAACTCCATCGTTCCCATTTGGAGACAGTATGCATCTCGGTTACTCTCACAAAGAGACTGCATTTTTCTCTCTATTACTCCCATTCCTGACTAGTATCTCAGTTACCCTGTCTAGGGGACAGTACTTGTGTTACTGTCACTTGGGTCAGCATTTATCTCAGTTATTCACACTTGGCGACAGTGTTTAAGTCTCATGAAAAAGATGGTATTTGTCTCAGTTACTCTCACTATTTACTGCTCATTTAGAGGACACTATTTGTCTCAGTCATTTTTCACTTTGAATTTCTAAAGTTATGATTTATTTTCTGATGCTGTCACTGAGTATACAAGTCTGCATCTGAGCTAACAACTCAATATCACCACAGCAGTTAGTGGCTTTATGATTGCATTTCCAAGGTTCTTAACAGTGAGTTTATACCAGAATTGGAATGAACTGCCTTTGGCTGTGGGGTAGCCAGGCAGCGAGCATGAAAATATTCTGAGCAGACCAAGAGAAAACCTGGCTCCCAGCAACCTCCTGACCACAGGAATTAATTTAGTGCTATCAATCAACAGCTCAGTGTCCAACTAAACAATGTCCTTCATCATTCCTGTTTGAAGTACTGAATGCTCAGGACCTTACACCTGGAAACCATCCCATTAATTTCAAAGAAGGAAAGTGGTTAATTGCAGGGAGGCTACATTATCAGTTGCTGACAATAACTGGCCTCAATCCCATCCAAACATTTTATGCCACAATTTCCAGAACATCACTGACAACACCACATTGAAAGGGGGAATGCTACTCAAAAGTCTTACCAAAGAAGGGTTCTTGTCCGAGTTCTTTCCGAAGACATTCTACCACAGGATGACCAAACGTGATATTAGGCACAAAATGTCTGCAGGACAGAGGACACAAGTTCTTAAAAGCAAGGTGTTTCACAAGCACAGCAAGATACCATTTACCTAGTCATGTCAGCATTGATTCTTTGCAAGAACTGTCCAATTTCCTCCTCACAACCCTGCAAAAGATTTCTTCAGTAGATGCCTAATTTCTTGCAAAAATTTGGAATTTACGCTCAACGTTATTCTTTCAGGTATTATGTCCTAAAGGCTACCAACCCTCAGTCTGATAACAATTCACATCGTTTTCCCAATAATTTTAAATCAGGGGTCCCTGGCTAACAACTTGTTTGTCAGAGCAAACAGTTTTTCACTAGGCTCTAACAAAGGTGCAGCTAATTTTGAACACCTTGATTAAATCCCACTTCTTCTTCTCTGCTTGAAGAACAATCCCAGCATCCCCAGTCTCTCCATATAAATGGAGTACCTGATTTCTGGTACCGTTCCAGCAAATCCTCTCCAAAGCCTGACATCCTCCCTAAAGTGTGAAGCCCAGACTTTTTTTTAAAGAATCCCTACAGTTTGGAAACAGGCCCTTTGGCCCAACAAGTCCACACAGACCCTCAGAGCATCCCACCCAGACCCATCCCCCTATAACCCACCTAATCTACTGAACACTACGGGCAGTTTAGCATGGCCAATCCACCTAACCTGCACATCTTTGGACTGTGGGATGAAACCGGAGGAAACCCACACAGATAAGGGGAGAATGTGCAAACTGCACACAGACAGTCGTCCAAGGGTGAAATCAAACCCGGGTCCCTGGTGCTGTGAGGCAGCATTGCTAACCACTGAGCCATACCACCCATAAATAAAACTTCCAAAAAAATTTTTTAAAAACTTATTAAAAAATCCAGTTGAGATCAGACAGGTGTTTTGTAAAGGTCAATTATGATTCCTTGGATTTGTTTTTAAATGTTCCATATCTCAGTGTTATGAATAGATTACAAAAGAACTTTAATATACACATATAAATTTAGCAACTATTTGAAAAACACATTAAAACAGCCCAGCCAATAATGGGCAAGTAATTCAAATCAAATCAAAAATCATCTCCGGTATGGCTCACCTCCCATTTGTATGAACTTCCAATCTAGGTGACATGAAGGAATATTGACATTACATCTACTTCAGCCAGTTCTGAACAAAGGAAACCAATGAAACACACTGTGCACAAGCTGGTGCTAATAAATCCAGGTATGTGCTGCAGAAACAATAAGATCTGACCAGGATACCAAAACCCGCCTTGGTAGCTGCCCCAGTTATATGACTGAAACTTATGGCCTGTTGGGATTGCTTTTAAGTATATTTTTGGATGTCTGAGAGAGAATGCGCATTGCAGTCTAATTCCCTGTGTTTTGAATGCATTGATAGATTTTGCTTTAACCCTAAGTAATTTGCCTTGGCCAATTTTAAATTGGACTTCACAACTGGGTTTTTTTTTTAGGGAAAGACACCACTGCCTATTTTTTCAAAAGAAAAATATTAGAAAAGAAAAATCAAACAACCTCTATTTCAGATTGAAGAAATATATCATTCAGAAGTTCAATTCACCTCTTTGTTATGTCTGTGATATCAGTATTCCACTTGTTTTCTGAACCATCTCATCAACTTTACCTAGAAAGAAATCAAATTTTCACTCCACAGGATCCAATGTTTCTGCTTCATTCCTCCAATTTAGGAAGTGTCCAAGATGGCGGAGTATGGTTCCTGAGCCTGGGCTCATCTGCTCCGCTTTTCTTTTTTCTCTTTCCTTGTTTTTTTTCCCTCTCTCTCTTACTACCTTTTGTACCGCTGGATGTCTGAACAGCTCAGACAGCATCGGCGTCAGCGACAAGCGAACCCTTATTCACTTTTGTGAGGTGAGCATAGGACCCGGAATTGGTGGCTGCTACATTGGCAGAGGCAATGTCGGTGAGGTAGGCTCAGCAGTGAAAGGTGAGACCTGAGGATCAGCAACTGTGTCATTGGTTGGGTCTGATGCTGCAGCGGCAACAATGCTGTGGTGGTTCTGAGCTGACTGAGGACTTGTGTAGGAGGCAGCGGAATGTAGACAGACTTCTTTTTAAGCCATATCTTTTCATTTTTCTTATTCTTAAACTATTCAAAATGGCACCTAATCATGGTGATGAATGAAAGCTTTTCACTGTATTTTACTGAATATCTCACTGTAAAATTCATGACAACAAAATCATTCATACAAAATCAGCCTATTTACATAATATTGCCATCTGGCATGTATCTGCCCACTGAGCTTTCAGTGTCTTTCTGACCTCTGCTGTTTTCATGCTGACGATCAATCATCTAGTTTCTTTCAGCCAAAAATTCCATAACTGCACTCCTTAGCCCAGAGTCCAAATCATATACCATATATACTAGAGTAAAAGTTGATCTCATGTAAAAGCCGACCCCTATTTTTGGCCAAAAAATCTTGAATTTTCCATACATCTCGTGTAAAGGTCGACCCTAGTTCTTCACAGATAATTTGGATTTTAAGGTAAATGCTGGCTGGTGTTCGTTCTCATCTGTCAAAGAACCTTCCTGAACTGTACCTTTACTCCGAAGATGGGGATGAAAATGTGAAAATTAAAGTGCTGAATCTAAACAGTAATACGTTAATAACCTGCAGGTGGAGATAAAGTGCTATCATCCAGTCTCCCAGGTTTGTTGGGATTTTGTTTTTGACTCCAGGATACTGTAGCATTTTAACAGCAGGTTTCTTTTCATCAGGTTTCATCCCTTTGTCAGAGCTTCAAAAGAATGAACCCAGTAATTGAGAGAGCTCAGATCCACTGACTTACTGTTTCACTGAGGGTGAGAGCGCGCTTTTGGACATCGAAGAAAATGGAAAAGATTTCAGAGTTACTTTGTGAAAGAATAATCAGGTTTTTATTTACAGGGAGAATAATTGTTCTGTTTGTTCTTATCCGCTGACAATACACGAATGCTCACGTGAGGTACGATGCTATGAGAGATTATGCCTCTCACAGCCCTGTTCATTTTTCATGGCACTGGATTACAGAAATACTGGTAATTACCATAGTTCACTGTTTTATTTTTCTTTATTCATTTAGAGATCAATTGGGCTTCTGCCAATGATATGGTACTTTGGACTGTGGCATGAATTTCAGCCCCTCAAATGTAGCATGTAATAGTCAACCCCATAAATTTAACCTTAAAGTCTAAAAAAAAATTGACTTTTATACGAATATATATAGTATATTTTTATAATTATATATTATACATATATAAAAGTAGGAAAACAACAGTACTCATCCCAGGCTAAGTGTGAATCAAACCATTCTCCATTCACTAGGAACTTCTGTCTTCAATTTCCAAAGTTCCAACTTCTCATTACAACCATACATTTCTATACAACAGGAGAAGGCCTTCAACAAAGTTCAACATGGTAGACTGGTTAGCAAAGTTGGATTAAATGGGATCCAGAGACAGCTAGTCAATTGCATTCAAAACTAGCTTGACAGTAGGAGACAGAGGATATGGGCAGAGGTATTGTTCAGACTGGAGGCCTGGGACCAGTTTTGTGTCACAAGGATTGGTGCTGTGTCCACTCAAGTTTGTCATCTATATAAATGGTTTGGATGAGAATATAGGAGGCATGGCTAGTAAGTTTGCGGATGATAGCAAAATTGGTAATATAGCGGACAGCGAAAGTTATCTAAAAGTACAACAGGATCTTGATCAACTGGGCCAGTGGGCCGAGGAATGGCAGATGAAGTTTAATGCAGATAAAAATGAAGTGTTGCATTTTGGTAAGACAAACCAAGGCAGGACTTACACAGTTAATGGTAAGGCGCTGGCGAGTGCTGTCGAACAGAGACCTAGGGATGCAGCTACATAGTTTCTTGAAATTGGCGTCACAGGCAGACAGGGTTGTGAAGAAGGCACGCTTGCCTTCATCAGTCAGAGTATTGAGTACAGGAGCTGGGACACTGATATGGCCACATTTGGAGTACTGTGTACAATTCTAGTTGCCCTGCTATAGGAAGGATGTTACTAAACTGGAAAGAATGCAAAACAAAATTTACAAAGATATTACGGAGACTGGAAAGTTTGAGTTATAAGGATTGGCTGGATAGGCTGGCCCTTGGGTCCTAGTGAAAAACTTCCACAGAATCCCTACAGCGTGGAAACAGGCCCTTCGGCCCAATGAGTCCACACCAACCCTCGGAGCATCCCACCCAGACCTATTCCCCAAACCCACCTAATCTACACATCCCTGAACACTACGGGCAATTTAGCATGGCCAATCGACCTAGCCTGCACATCTTTGGACTGTGGGAGGAAACCCACAAAACACGGGGAGAATGGGCAACTGTCTGTGTGAAGTTTGCACAAGGGGGAAATTGGACCTGGGCCCCAGGCACTGTGAGGCAGCAGTGCTAACCACTGAGCCACTATGCTGTCCCTTGTGGAACTATCTTCTCCATGTTCACTCAATGCAGACCTCCCAGTATTCTGTAAGTTTCGATGAGACATGTTCCCCTCATCCTTCTAAACTTCAATGATTACAGACCAGACTCCTCAGCCACTCCTCATACGACAAGCCCTTCATCCGCAGGATCATTCTTGAAAACCTCTTCTGGACCCCCTCCAATGCCTTTACTTCCTTCCTTAGATACGGGTCCCAAGGATGCTCACAGTATTCTAATTGCGGTCTGAGCCTTCTACAGCCTCAGCAGTATGCCCTGGTCTTGTAATCCAGCCCTCTCGAAATGAATACTAACAGTGCATTTCCTTCTTAGCTGCCAACTGAACCTGTTTGATAACCTTAAGAGAATCCTGAACTAGAACTCCTAAGTCCCTTTGTGTTCAAATTTCTGAAGCCCTTCTCCACTTAGAAAGTAGTCGACATCTCTGTTCTTCCTATCAAAGTGCACAACCTCACACTTTCCCACATTGTATTTCACCTGCCACTTCACTGCCCACTCTCCTAGTCTGTCCAAGTCCTTCTGTTGCTTCCCCACTTCCTCAT